TATGTGAACTGATTCAACTTAAATTAAACAACTTACAAGACTAGGTCAACTAGCAAATTAAAAGAAATTTCTACAGTTTCTCCTTAAATTGATGTTTGCTAACAATCAGTAAAGTTGAGGTGTGTAAATGATTTTTGTCCCAATTTTTTTATATATTAATAATAATTAGGTTCAACAGATTGTCATACAAAAATAAAAATGAAAAAAAGGCAAGCATAACCATAAAAGAAGTGCTACAAAGTCTGGGGGAAGTTTATGTAATTCTCTCTTTAGTGAGTATTTTTTAGCTATAGTAACTTTGAAGATGAATAAATCTTATTTGAGTAACTTTATTGATACTACAAAATAAGCACAAGTAATTTTATAGAGAATTTACTAAAGCTGAATGAGCAATTAAATTATTCAATCTTACCCACACGTAATCAATTTGCAAAATTAGCTCAAGAATGGACAGATCAAATTTGTTTTGATTGTGATGTTGTCATCTCCAAAGTGGAAAATAGTAATTAAAAGTGAATATGAATTCCCTCGAGTACATCATCAAAAAGTCTCTTTGCAGCATCAAACCACCTGCACCTCAAAAGTCTCCTTGTGCAATTAGCCAAACAAATAACAAAAACAATAGCACAAAAATCCTCATCCTCAGGCTCCCTATAAAACAACAACCTGCACTTTATACATACCATAAAATATTTTTCCAGAGGAAGCCTTTTCTTGTTTTAATATGTATATTTCTAGAGGAAGGTTCACCATCTATCTTATAAATGATTGTCGTCTAAGTGTACCTCTTTGCAGTGACCCAACAAAGCGCAAATTTTCCAGATAATCAAGCTGCAAAATGCACTTGATGAACATTAGCTGAGACGAAAGCTAGAGGAGAAAATGAATTAGATACCCCAGTAGTCCTCAATTTATTATGATATTTTCTCAGTGAGGTGTAATCAATCATGTCCTTTAACTTGTTTTTCTTTTATTCTGTTTCCTCTTTTTACCCTAAAACACATGCACAAAAACACATACGTGTGTTAAAAAGTACTCATGTCTAATGCAACTGCAAATAACTTCGAAAAGATATTTCAAATATTTGGGTTAGCCCATTATTCATTATTTGCATGAAAATAGTAGGATACATTTACCCCCTAGTTTCATGGTAGTTATCATTTTATCTTTTTAGCAGTGTATATCCTCAGAAAAATATTTCTATGTCATATATGCATACAACCCAAATTTGAAACAAAACATTCAGAACTGATGGGCTTTGAATTTTTATTTTTTATTTTTCGTTCGATATTTGATATCTATATTTAAATTGATAAAATTTGAATTTGCACCGATTTAATTAAATTTGAATTCGGTTCGAAAAATCCTACCGAAATTTGAGACATATGAAATAGTATTTGTCAATCGACTACAATTTCCCTCTTTCCATTGCTTAGACCAATAAAAATGAAGGTACAATCATCAGAGCAAAACGTACCAGTACTTAAAAAACAGTCTATAAATTTCCGGAAAAGCACGAGTCAAACATTCCCTCGTTTTTGAATAATAATAAAAAATTAGAGGGGGATTGGATTTTGTCAAAACCTAATCGTCTCCCTCCCTTGTTCCAGTCCCATCCTCGTCCCTTCTCCTCTCTCTCTCTCTCCACTCTCTTCCTCTCTCTTCTCTGATCAGAGATCTCGAATTCTGCTTATTCAGATCCGATCTACACGGTCCGAAAATGATCACCATTCCATACTTGACAACCTACTTCAGCTATGGAATCGCTCTTCGCATTCGGTCAATTCCGTGAATTCTTCAGGAAGATCTTTGATTGGTGGCGTGATAGCAATCTTCAGGTATTACTTTCCCCGCCTCTGCTTCGTCGTGCTTGATTCTGAGAATGAGCTTGAATTTTGATGTTGTTAACTTTGCATGACAACTGTGAAGGAGAATCATTTTGTACAATAACACTACTTTTTATCTACAAATATCATTTGAATGATCAGATAGTATAAAACATCTTTATATTGATTGTGTACAAAAAAAATTCAATGAATAAATGTGCGAAAGGCAGATTGAGTGGTTGAGAAGTGGGTTTTCCATGTGGGAGACCTAGGAGGGCTTGCACTTTGTATCTTATTTGTAGTTTGCAAGTTGTTAACAGTAATTGTGTTACCACAAAGTGCTCATCCGAAGAGTAGACAGTGCTAGTGTATTTGAAATTCCAAAAAAAATGTGCTTTATTGTAATGGCAAGTTCTAAAATGGAATTAGTTTGCCTTTTGCATTTTTTCCCCATTTCGCAGTAGTATTTGTACATTTGATATCCAAAAAATACACCAAATGCATGCATAGTTCAAACACAATATATTTTTTTCTACCTAAAGGGAAGGTTAAATGTATTTCTTTAAATATCACAAAAAATAAAATAAATTATTACTAATAATTGCGAAACTAAAATTATTATCCTTAAATAATTAATTAAAGAGGAATATAAAATAAATAAGATTAGAATAACACTCTTGGTTAAAGGAGGAGCACCGTGCTTATAATTTTTTTTTTCCATTTTATAACTAAGAAGAGTGTTGAACATGCAAATATGATGACAACAACGACAACAAGTAAACAACATACCTAGTGAAATCCCACTTATGGGTAGAGTAGGGTAAACAGACCTTATCACTATGTCGTGAAGATAGAGAAGTTGTTTTCGAAAAACATTCGGCTCGAGTGTAGCAAATCCAAACACAAAAGAAGAGAACAATATAGAAAAGTTATTAGCAGTATATAAAAAATACTATTACATCCAATTCAAACAAAGTTGAGTCAAATCTTGCAAAGTGAGTTCATGATCCTCCCAAACTTGACAAGTATCATGTATATTAAGACAGACGTTTAAATTTCAAGTATCAGTTGCCAAATTTTCTTTTTTTGTTCCTTCCTTCGTTGTTGGTGTTGGTGTTGGCATTACGCTTTTGTCCACTTGAACTTTCAAATAGGCTCTTAGTTGAAATTTGTCTCGTCTTCACTTTTTAATCTTGATTTATTTATACTATGTGTTGTTACAGTAGTAGTATGTTATGTGCATGGGTGGAAATGTGGAATGGGGCAATGTAAATTAGGTGTAATGGGAGTCAACATATATATATAATTAATATCTTTATTTGATTGCTTAATTCATGTTTTAAATTTTTCTTTTTGTGTATTGTGTCCATTATTATAGTATAATCAATTTATTTTCAGTTGTTACGATATAAAAAAATCAACTATAAGAGTACACACAAAAAACTGGGAAAAGACACCCAATTTATAAATCTTTTAATGGGGGTTCTAAAAACTTCTCAAAGCATAGAGCTGAAGTGTTGGTGGATAATGTTGAATACAAATCTTAAGTTGACACATTCAACAATAAAGCAAGTTGATCTGAAAGCTGCAAAAGTTGCTTGTGAATCCATTATTCATCAAGAAACTGAAGTTGAAATTTTTCAGTTTCTTTATGAGGTACTCACTCTACACTTGCTGCACCTTTCTGAATAGTGCGCTAAAGAATCATTTTTGCTCAAAATTTTACTTTTTTGTGTGTTTTTTTAAAGGACCCTACGTTGTGCAAATCTATTCTAAATAAATTTGCCATCAAGAAGAAAATGAAACATAAATATAATATTAGATGTCATGCAAAAGGTCAAAGTCCAGTTTTTATTTGCCACCTTGCTTTTAGTGGTAAAACATATATAGGCGAAGAAGTTGGGAATAAGAAAATGGTTGAACATTTAGCTGCTCGAACCGTGATCGAATCGCTATCGGATATGTTTATTTATTGTTTTATTTTACCTCAATGCTTAATGAATATATATTATATGCAAAACAACGTTAGTCTAATACGTTAAAAATCTCAAAGAAATAAATGCATATACTCTTTCACCAATAATCATGTCCAAAGTTAACTCTGATGATCATTTGCCTAAATGCTCAGGTGAGAATTGAGATAATCGCGATTATAATTGATTATTTTAAAAAAAATTCATATACTTGTTGAGTCACATCTCATGCATGTTGTTTTGAATATGTAATTTAACCTCATGACAGCCATGTCAAATAGTGACAATATTATAAAAAATATACACCTAGTTCAAATACAATTTTTTTTGTACCTAAAAGAAAGGTTAAATGTATTTCGTCAAATATCACAAAAAACTAAAACTAATTATTTCTAATAATTGTGAAACTAAATTATTATCCTTAAATAATTAACTAAAGAGGAATATCAAAATAAATAAGATAATAACACTCTTAGTTAAAGGAGAGCTCTGTGCAGCGTCGTGCTTACAAAATAATTTTTCCATTTTATAACTACGAAGAGTGTTTAACATGCAAAGACGATGACGACGACAACAACATACCTAATAAAATTTCACTAAGTGAGGCTTGGAATGAGTAGAGTTCAAACAAACATTATCGCTATCTCGTGAAGATGAAGAGGTTGTTTACGAAAACCACTTGGCTCGACTGTAACAAATCCAAACACAAAGAAGAACAATATAGGCTTTCTTCAATCGGCAAACAAGGGGGAAGTCTGCCACACCAACCCTTTAAGAGATAGGGACTCCAGCGCAGCGGTAAGAAAAAGTCACTCAGTGAATCGGTGGATCACACACTTGGAGACAGGGACAGGGGCATGCCTGACTCTTTAGAAAGTATACAAGTGCTGAAAGAGTGAAGTCTGGGGACAGCGGTAAACGTGAGGAATGGCACCTCCGCCCTACTAAAGAAGTTCGCAAGCAAGGGACATGCCGAACACCTACCTTTCCAACTAAGTCCAAGGCGAAGGACCTTTTAATTGACGATGCGTTCCGTCGTCAGCAAGCGGTGGCCGACAAGGCCCCTTTCAAAATACTATAACATCCAATTAAAATAAAGTTGAGTCAAATCTTGCAAAGTGAATGCACGATCCCACTAAACTTAAAAAGTATCATGTATGTTTCTATCAAGATATTTAGACAAACATTTAAATCCCAAGTATCAGTTGCCAAATCTTCTCTTTTTGTTCCTTCCGTTGTTGTTGGTGTTGGCGTTATGCTTCTGTCCACTTGAACTTTCACCTTCTAAATTACCTATTCAAAACAATACACATGAGATGTGATTCAACATGTATATATAATTTTGGAAAAATAATCAATTATAATCGCAATTATCTCAATTCTAACCTGAGCATTTAGGCGAATGATCATCAATAACTTTGGACTTGATTATTGGTGAAAGAATATCTGCATTCATTTCTTTAAGATTTTAAAGGATTAGACAAACCTTCTTTTCCACATAATATATATATATATATATATATATATATTCATATAAGCATTGACATAAAATAAAACAATCAATAAACATATACCTAATAGCGATTTGATTGCGGTTCGAGCAGCTAAATGCTCTGCCAATTTCTTATTTCCAGCTTCTTCACCTTTATAAGTTTTACCACCAAAAGCAAGGTGGCAAATAAAAACTAGATTTTGCCCTCTTGACTGACTTCTCATATTATATGTAGGCTTCATTTTCTTCTTGAGGGCAAATTCATTTGGAATAGATTTGCACAACGTAGGGTCCTTTAAAAAAAAACACACAAAGAAATAGTAACATTTTAAGCAAAATAAATCTTTAGCGCACTATTCAGATTGGAGCAGAAAATGTAGGATAATACCTCGTATAGAAACGAAAAAGTTTCAACTTCAGTTTCTTGATGAATAATTGATTCATAAGCAATTTTTGCAACTTCCTGCTCAGCTTGCTTTTTAGTTGAATGTGTCAACTTAGATGTGTATTCAACACCATCCACCAACACTTTAGCTCTATGCATTGGGAAGTTTTCAGAACCTTCATTAAAAGATTGATAAATTGGGAGCCTTTTCCCAGCTTTTTGTGTGTACTCTTTGTAGTTGATTTTTGTATATCGTAGCAACTGAAAAAAAAATTATATTATTATATTATAATAATGGACTTAATGCATAAAAAATAATATCAAAAATATGAATTAAGTAAATAAGATTTTAATTCTATGTATATACATTATTATGTTGACTCTCATTACACCTAATTTTCATCCATTCCATATCCCCACCTCATGCACATACCATACTACTACTATAACAACAACAACATATTATAAACAATTCAAGTCAAAATTAAAAACGTGAAGATGAGACAAATTCGAACTAAGAACCTATTTGATATTGTTGTCAGGAGGCTAAAAACACTTATTTTTGTAAAGAATAAATGTACTTTGACTCTAATTAGGATATATAACTAGAACTATTATATACCTATGTATCATTTCTCTTTGTGTACTCTAGTAAAGTTAGGAAACTTGACTCCTCAGAAACCTCTTGTAGAAGTATTTGTTTATTTTTATCTTCAATAAGAAATAGAGAAGAAAAGTTTCTTTCAAGTATCGGAGCCCTAGTGGTTTGAGCAACCTTCCAATTAGGATTTTTTTCGTTTTTCTTCTTTAGAGTAAAAAAAAAATGACCACTTGAACCAGCAATGAGATACTTTATTCCCCCAAGCATGTCAAACACTCAAGTTGATGCTTAAACCACCAGTGACAACTTATTCCCCTACACCTAACCTTGCTCATCAATTGACCTTGAAGCTCACGTCGTCAAACTTCTTGCTATGAAAGACACAATTTCTTCCAATAATTTGTGGTGTGGTCTTAGTTACCATATTAATGGTAGTGAACCTGTTCCTGATAAGTTTATAGTAGATAATCAGTTGAATCCAGCCTACAAAGCTTGGGTACGCCAAAATCAACTTGTTTTAAGTTGGATTGCTGTTTCAGTATCCAAGAGTGTGCTACCATAATTACTTGGTGATGAAACAACCCGTGCAACATGGAACAAACTAGTTGTAGCCTATACATTCGGATCCAAATCACAAATCTGTGACCTCAAGGCACAATTGCATACTCTGAGTCATGACAATGCGAACATTGAGACTTATGTCCAAAAGGCAAAAGGAATTACAAATAGATTTGCCTATTAATAACGAGGACTTGATCGTTCTTCTAATTAAGGATTTACACAATCTTCTCAGCACCATAACTTTCAGAGTTCTACTTCATTAACTTAATCTGGGGTCCAGTCTTCATACTCTGATATGTCTGGGATTGTTTGTCATAATTATGAAGAAAAGGGCCATATTTAACATATTTGCCCATCACCCAAAATCATCGGTGTCTAGCCGACCCTCTTCAAATTTAGCTAGCACCTCGACTCAGCCTACACAAAATTGGTTAATGGATAGTGGCACCACACGTTATCTTATGGCTAAATCTTGACAATTTCGCCATCCATTCGGAATACCAAGGTCCTGAGGAAGTAGCCTTAGGTGATGGTTCCAAGCTGCCTATCTCTCACATAGGTCAAGGCTCACTATCTACTTCTAATAAAATATTTGCTCTAGATAATGTTCTACGTGTTCCTACTGCCACTCAAAATTTACTATCTATTAGTTCTTTTAGTGCATCAAATCAAGTTTTGATTGAATTTTTTCCTAACTATTTTTTGGTAAAGAATTTGGCAACGAGGACAATTCTTCATAAAGGGTCGAAAACTGATGATATCTACTCCTGCTTCATATGTTGCATCCCTTAGTGTTTGGCATGCACAACTAGCTCAGAAATCCTATCCTGCCGTCAAGTGTGTTTGTGTCGTCTTTTAGTTTATCTCCTAAATTGAGCTATACATGTGTTGTTAACAAAGAGTCACAAAGTCCCCTTTAGAGAGTCTAGTTTTAAGGCCATGTGGCTTCTATATTTAATTTTTTCAGTCATTTGGGGGTCCTGCCCCAATAGATTTTAATGATGGCTATCGTTATATGTTGTCATCTTTGATCACTTTAGCAAATATACTAGGATATACTTTCTTAAATTTAAATCTGATGTTCTATCCATTTTAATCAATTTCGTACAATTGTGGAAAAGTTCTTTGGTCACCCAATAAAATGCTTTCAAGCAGACTGGGGTAAATTCAAGTGTTAACTAGTTGCTTATGAGAAAATGACATTGTTCAACGTTTATCGTGCCCTTATACTCCAGAACAAAACATTTGTGCTTAGTAGAAACATAAACATATAGTTGAAACCGATCGTGCTTTGTTGAATTATTCTAATGTTCCTCAAAAAATTTGGACTAATGTGTGCATTCAAGATCACATATTTTAAATTGCATTCAATTTTTCTATTTTTTTACTTACTTTATTAAAAGAGGATATATTTATCAAAACAAAAACTACCAAATTTGTAGAAAATTTATATGAAGTATTAAATTAATTGAAAACACAACCTTAATAAACAGATAGATAAAAAATGCATGCGATGTAACGAAATACACAAAAAAAAATGTGCACCTTTATTCTCCAGAACAATGTTTAACTCGTGACGAAGTAGGTTTAGTTTTTCACTCCTTTGCTTGTAGCGGCGCTTCGGCAGATATCTTATAAAAAATGTCTTGTGTTAAGTCAAGAGACAAAACCTAGATTGTATTTATATGTGTATAAGTGTTAACCTAGTGAGTCTGATCCTCGTTATAGGCTTATTAGTCTTCAACAGGCCTATATTATTGTCAGCCCTCGCCTATCTATGAAATAACACAGGCCCATTATGGAATCCAAAATATACTATTTGATATGTGTCTTGTCCGTCAACTATTAAAATTTAGCCCATTTTTAAAAATATAAAAGAATAACTTAATGTTAAGTTCACATTAATAAAATAATTCCAATTGCAAAAATAAAGGGAGAGACATACATGCACTTGTAATAGCCCTAATCAGAGAGAAGATTAAATCAAATCAAATCAAATAAAAAAATAAAATTTTTATTTGAGTAGTGTTTCTTATTATTAATTTATCAAAAGATATTTTATACTCTTTGTTTTGACTCCTCGAATAGAAAGGGTAGAAAAAAGGCAAAATAATAATACACTACATAAGAAAAAGCTGGAATTCGATCTTGGAAATAATCAACTCAAGCTCATCATACCTTTTTTAGTGACTCGACTCAAGCTCATCATAACCCTTTTTGTGACTCGACACAAGCTCATCATACATAATTCGATTTCCTCTTCTTTGTGTTCTATTAATCAGAAGCATCGAATAGCGCCTCGCCGATTTAGAATTCGAACACAAAATGACCATACTTGAGCAATTATTCTTGCATGTGTCTACTATTTTATTTAGGCAGAATACCCTCACCCATTTTTATTAAGAAACTGAAAGAAGCCTCAAAAACAGAAGAAAGGGTGGATATGTGGGATCAATAGATAGCTGGGAGGTGAATAATAATTTAGTTGAACAGTTATTTTATTTTATTGATAAAATTTAGTTGTCAAATTAGTCTAATTTGTGTGGCGTTGTTGATACAAAATAATCATAAATGATTTTAATAGAGAATTTTGCTATAGTTGAAAACTCAATTAAATTAATTCACTCTTACCACACGTAAACAATTTGCAGAATTAGCTCAAGAATTGAGAGATCACATTTGATTGGATTGTGATGTTGCCATTCCAAAGTGGTAAGTAGTAATTAAAAGTGAATACAAATTCCTTCGAGTAGATGCTTAACCCCGAGTGGTGGTTCTAGAGACGCCACTGGACCATCATTTTCATTAGTCCTTTGGCTTTATTTTCTAAATTCCTCTAATATCTAGATAACATAGTTTAATCAGATTGACTTAACAAAATTATAATTATTGATGGATTATCTGAAAAATCAACTCAACATTTATAATGTCGAATGAAGTGGTAATAACCCAGGGAAATCAAGGTTTAAATTTCAGTAAAGCAAAAAATATAACCGAGTTTGCAATACATACATATGTTAGTAGGAAAAAATAGATGCATGGTGTAATAGTTAGGGTGCGCATATGTTGATCCAAATAACATCTTTAGATAGATAAAAAAGAAACCACAGACCAAGATGGAGTCACAAATTCTTACTAGTTTTAGAAGTGGCATAAAGCACCTCCTTTATTCAATTAAATCTAGAAATGCTGGAATTCGAATTTTCAATTCCCGTACACAATTGTTATCACCTTTTATTGGCAATTTCAGACCATTTTGCCTATGCCTTGTTGTCTAGGGACAGATTCATGGATTTCCATTTTACGCCATTTGGCCAGGAATGAGGCGATTTTCTCAGCTTTATCACACACACCCAGTAGCCCACCTGAGTGTATGAAGAGAACCTTTCTTCCCTCCCATTTCCTTGGATTCTCCCTCATGTCTTTCATCATTCCATAAGCTGCTTTACCACTGTCAAAATCAATAATGTATCATTAAACTATCCTTGGAATACTCGAGAAACATAATTTTATTGATAAATATGTAGATACAATTCTGTTCCTCTCTTGATTCTTCTCTCATAAGATCTCTTCATGATTCGAGGGCCATTAGTGGCGTATTTCCCGAACTTCTATGATCTAGATTTGATCTCTTTATGAATATTCTATGAATTTGCGGAATTAGGGTTTAGGATTGAATAACCTCCAAGAATCCTAATTATTGGAATTGAACACGTAGAATCTCAACTCAAATTAAACATATCTTGTAGAGTCCCACAAAATTTCAATGTCTACACCAATTTCACAAGTGACATTCCAGATTGATTGAGTCTTCCTTACCCTCAGATACATGGTAGGCACTATCACTACCAACCCCAACCTCTCATACTATTTGTCTAGATTATATACGTTTTACAGAGTAAAGGCAAATGATGTGGACATGCCATATGATATACTAATAAAGACTGAGAAGAAGGCAAAAGTGGGCATATACCTGTAAACAGGGTCAAGAATAACA